GTAAGCTGATTTTCTTTGAGAATAACAGACAACGGATTGAACGACATGATGAATATCCTGAGAATCATGCACATAAATTTTACAGATTAAACACTTTTGAATTTAACTGTTAATATTGATATCCTCAAAACAACATTAACTTAAATCCACCGACATCTATTACACCTTGTGAGAATGCATGCTACGAGGGTCGCCCTACAAACTCGCATTTTGTAAGAGAAGGGCTTTTCTAAGGCTCATTAATTTCCATAAGTCAAAACCAAATTCATGACGAACGAAATTAATAATCGGTCCCCATTTGGCCATGCAATAGAATTCATGGACCCCGAGGGGGGTTAATAAATTTATTCGCATTCTAAGTGAATCCCATTTCTCGGTCCTAAGGTCGTCAAATTTGATTATACGTCATCCGAGGGGAAGCCCGTACGCTCTCATAAGATTTCCTCTAACCGTCTAATATTAGAAATTTGTCCTGGTAATTTCCTACAATTAAATTTTAGCAATGTCACCCGAGGGGGAGCCCATTACCGCAGCTTAATTGATTTACCGACAAATTAGAAATGGAGGCCTTAGGAATTTTACAATTAACTTTAATTTAAAATCCCTTCTCAAACTTAGTATAATTTAATGAGGATTTTTAACTATTTATACAATTCCAAATTAATCTATGTTAATGCAATAATTAATTAACATGCATATTAATTCATGCAATTCTAAATTAATCTATGTCAATGCAATAATTAATTAACATGTTCAATAATTTATGCAATTCTAAATTAATCCATGCCAGTGCAATAATCAATTACATGCATAATTTATTGACACAATTCTAAATTAATCATATGCATTACATAATTAATTAACATGCATAATTAATCTTGCAATACTAAATTAATCCCATGCAAGAAAATAATTTAATGGCATAATAAATTTAATTAAATAAATAAATAAATCTACTATTATGGCCATTAAATATTGAATCTCGTTAAACAAGAAAACTATGACAGTTCTTTCCCTGTTCAACTGGAACTCCTTTAAGCAGTAGAATCCTGGTTGATCTTGTACTGCTTGGACAAGAAGGCAAAACCTCTCCACCTCCTACAGCCAACCGCCGACCGCCGCCTGGCTGCCGCTCGGCCGCCGGCCACCGCCGCCGGTGGTCGGAAAAACGCGCCGTTTCCTTTTTTTTTTATTCTTCGAGGCTCGTTGATCTCTTGTGATCTCCCGGTTATCAACACACGATAACAACACGAAAAATATAATTTACAAAATTACATAATTCGATCCTAGATCCAACGAATGGATGTACATGTTTTCTAAACAAATAATTAAATCTATCTAGTCAACCCACGGGCGAATAATTATTACAAACATTCATCCATAAATTCCTTGACATGCCCGAGACTTTAAAAACAAATTTAAAACCATACGTCACATTCAACAACATTCATCAAACACATAATCGGCCAAAATAGTGGATTAACTATTTTCCTGCAAAACCGAGTCATGCAAATATAATCCAATATATGGCTGCGTTTGAACACATCTTGTCAAATAAAGCCGTAAAAATTCGAACTTTGTACAAAACGAATTAACCAAGTGCTCTGATACCACTTGTTGGGATCTGTGAGGATCTCGTTATGTACAAATCACGAATTCAATAGCAAACGTAAACCTATGCGCAGCGGATCTAAAGGTTTGACGTAGAGAACTTACGGCTTAAAATTTATGTAGATCTAGCTGACCACGAACGGTTGACCGCAATTGATTGACCGCAAATCACGTCTTTGATTGCACGAACAAGATCAGATCAAAATCGGATCAAACGGATGCAAACAGATCAAAACGAGTTTTTGCAGTCAGGCTCCTTCCGGCGGCGCATGAGGGCGCGTGCCGCGTCGGAATCCGGCGACGTTGGCCGCGATGGAAAGCCCTCGTCGAGACGGTCGTCTGGGTATACTGTACGTCTCAATCGGACTTCCGGTTAGTTCTGTAGGTCAAAATATATTTCGTCTCGGTTTACCTACAGATCTTCTACTGTATTACTCAATACACCCTTCTTCAACTTGTACCAGTGGAGCAACAAGAAGAAAATAAAGCTCGAATGAGATCTAGAGAGAGAGGCGTGTTTCACGTGAGAATAGGATTGGGGTTCTCTTCTCATGAGCTTAATGATGTATATATAGAGCTACAGTAGGGACCCTAATGAGATTAGGAAAAGGGCTCCTTAATTAATTAGACTAACTGTGGGCCAAACACACTCTTCTAATTAATTAAATAATATTAATGGACCACCAACATTATATTATTGCACTCCCTTTCCCTAGCCCAAATTACATTTGAGACTCCAATAATAATTACTCGAGTTACCTCCCACGTTTAAGGTATAATGTCCATTAATTAATTCGATTACTGACAATCAAGAATTAATTAATTTATTATTATTTCACCGAAGCTAGCGCTCGTTCATCATATTCTTATTATGCCGGAACTTAATCCACCTGCAGGGTTTAGCATAACAATCCTTCATGAACTCACTCCGGGGACATCATCAAACTGACGCACATGGTGACAGTAAATATCCTAACAGCACATCCTATATATAATAATATTACTCAAAACAGTAGGAATATTAATCCAGCGAACTGAGCTCACCCATGTGAATCAAAGTAATATATATTATATATATATGCCTGTTTAATATTTTACGGGTTAAGAGAACACAGTAATTAACCGAGGCCTAGTTCATTTACGACGATCAGTATAAAATGAACTTCTCCTCTTTGGGATCCTGTTCAATACATAAATGTACTAGTGCAACTAATCAGTCAAGACAAACTGTACAGTTGACACTACAACCGTTCGGATAGAGTGTTCATGTCCATCTAGGTTGTGAACAACTATTCTTATTCGCAAGTAACTGATAGAGTGATCTTCGGTTCGCCCGATGAAGACCCACACTATCTAAGTGCAGAACAACAGAACGTAGAACTTGTTTAATCTAACATGATTCTAATTCATAAAGGGTAAATGTGTAATATCATGTAAAGCCAAGCTTTCAGTATATAACACTAACACACCCAACATGTCTCGCGGTGCATTCTCAACCAATTGTATAATTTCAATGCCGGCCGTGGCAAGAACACGTGTCTTTGATGCGAATTCCTGTATAAACGCCTGAAAAAAAAATAAAAGGGTAAAACAAATCAGTTAAACGTGTAAAAATACAAGAATGTCACTCATAGGATGAAAAAATAAGTCATATAACAACATATGGATCCAACAGTAACAGTATGCACCAAATGGCTACACATATTGCACAAATGTTCTGCGACTGTTGCACCAAATACACGTTTCACAAGCACATATCACATTGTATATATAAAGAGCCCGATTGCACATAACTATTACACTTATTGCACCATTGAATGCTAATGGTTGCAACAAATATAATATCACAAGCATAACATGCAAATAATAATAATAATAATAATAATAATGATAATAATAATAATAATAATAATAATAATAATAATAATAATAACAATAAAAAAAAAGTTATACAGTAAAACAGACTAATATGTATGTTTACCTGGACATTGAGTTTCGATGCACGGTTCATGTCATTGCCATTGGGACTGCCAACGTCTATTTTGGCACGATGACGAGCATCATCCACATGTACATCGTCATCCACATATCCTCTCCCAAACGCACTAGCCACTATCTCATCCCGCTCTCTCGCTTTCAGCATAAAGTTGTTCCATGATTTCAAAACTGGTAGTGATCTCGTTACAGTTCTATACGATAGCACCACCTTGTCGACATAAAACAGCTGCACAAACAAAGTAAAACAATAAATACAAATAAAAAAATAAATAAATAAAGAGTGGAAAATCAATACATCAGTCATTGTGGTTCATTGGATTAAATTTAATAAATTACATAAAGTAAACATCACCAAGGATCGAATGCACTAACCGTCAGAAATAGAAGCGGACCGGAGAAATTTTTGCGTTTTTGATTGGCATTCCACGCCTTTTTAGCACCCACCAAACATCGAATCAAGTATGCACACCAATTCATCTTGCTCACGTTCGACAAATCATCGAGCAAGTGAACTGTGCGCAAGTTTGCCACGCCATTCTGGGAACTCTCGAAGAGACACATAACCATGAGAACAACAAAGTGACGCTTGAACCAATCATCGCTTCTCTCACAATTTTGAATCATCTCCAACACCTTCGTAGCTGTGATTTTGGTCGCAACACTGACACCATACATGTCAGCCCATTCACTTAACACTCCCGACTCCGTCTTTTTCTTCCTGTTCGCGATCTCGATAGATCCACGGGGCAGCCCCAACACACTGTACACATCATCCTCCTTCACGTGGACCTTTCCCCCGTCATACAATTGCAGCTTTCGGTCCATATGGATGAAATTATCGACCAGCCAGCATCCCATTTTGGTTGGGGTTGTTGTTATCGTCAAATCGAGCAAGCATCCAAATCCCATCTCGCGAACTGCACGTTTCTGGTCTTCGGACAAACTGGACACCGCCTTCACGAATATGGCTGGTGACATTCTTGTGTGGATGGTCGGGAATGCATCATCGGATTTTGCCCCGATATCTTCTAATGCATGCGTACCAACTTTTTCGTTAATGATCCGTTGCCCTCTGCAAATGCATAAAAATAATGCATTCCATGATAGATTTAATAATGGTGAACCAACAGTTTATTATTTGAAGAAGTTAGGCAATGATAATATTCTTGCTAGTTCTGATATTTATTCACAAATTTATCTTTGACCTTAAAATAATACAACTCCATACCCTACCAAAGTTTTGATGCATATGAGAAAATGGATCAATGATAAACAAAGTATTGTGAGTGATCACATAATGTATTCACAAGACAACTACTTATAGCAATATCTGGATTATCAAAATATTCAACCAAATCTCTTTAAAGTATTATAACACGAGTGGTAATTATATGAAGATCTTGGGCTATGAAAAATTCAACAACAAGTCACCAAATCTCTGTAATGTAGAAACAAAGAAGTCGAAATCCGTTTAATCTGAGATAAACAGTACAGAATCCACAATCATAGATTTAGCTCAAATGATCANATATATATATATATATATATATATATATATATATATATTAGGTCTTTACAACTGAAAATAATATAAAATATAAGTAAAAATATTAAAATACGAAATATGTTTTTATAAAATATTAAAATACTAAATATATTTTTATAATATAATTATAAATTATTAGACTATTTAGGTTAATTTAGTTGACCGATCAAACAAAACCAATTCTTTTGGTTTTAATTTGGTTTAGGACAAATCATTAAAAAATAAGTTCTCTTGGATTGCACATTAACGATAGATCGGCTGCACATTAGTCACTGTCAGATTGCACTAGAGCGACAAAACAACAATAAAAAAAGTACGTCGACACGCTATTTAGTATTTTTTTACTTTTAAACTTTTGATTAATTTTTAAAACAACTGAACTAGCATATTAGGCCAAACTATATAAAAATGTTACATTTGTTATTATATGTATTGTCTTTTATGCAACAAATAATATAAACTATTAAAAAAATTATTAAAATACTAAATATATTCTTAATAATATAAATTACGAATTATGTCGTTAATTCGATTAACCGATCAGATAAACAGGTTATTTTGTTATTAGTTTGGGTTGCGACAAATCAATAAAAAAATTAACTTAAATTCGGGTGCACACTAGTGTTAAACAGATTGCACATTAGTGATTGTTAGGTTGCACCATAGCAACCAAGACCCACCGACTAAGTTTTTGTGTCCAAAATTTATATATTGGTTCGATTATCTATTTTCATTTTTAATTTTTTTTTGGTTGTTTCGGTTCGATGATAAATTTATTTTAAATAACCCAATCTATCGAACTATAAAAAATATTATTTTGTTATTTATATATTTTATGTTTTTACAACAATAAAATAGAGAAATATTAAATTTATATTTTTATAATATAAACTATAATTTGTTTCGATTAATTATGTTAATTCGATTTACCGAGTACATAAAACATATGTTTCTTTCTTTATTAGTTTTGTTTGGACAAATCATAAAAAAATGAGTCCGCTAATAGTGCATAGTAATGTTAGATGGATTGCATATTAATGACTATCAAATTGCACATTAACGAGTACCAGATTGCACCTTAAAATCTCAAATCGACGAAACTAAATTTTTCGGTTAAAAATTTTATATTTCGGTTCGGTTATCTGTTTTTACTTTTAAAATCAAAGTTATTTCAGTTTCATGTCGTTTTTTTTTTTTATTTTTTACTTTTAAATAACTGATCTGACCGAACTATTTTAAAAGTATTATAATTATTATTATTATTTATATACTTCTTTGATGAACATTACAGTTATAATGATTGAACATTAATGATCATCAGATTGCACAGTATCTAACGAACGCGACCAAACTAAAACTTTCTGTTTGAAATTTTATGTTTCGGTTCAATTATTTTATGTTTTAATTAAAAAAATCGATTATTTTAATTCAATTATAATTTATTATTATTTAAATAACCGAATGATTGAACTATATTGAAAAATACTATAATATTTTTTTAATGTAAACATATTATTCATATTTAGTCAATAAAATATAAAAATATTAAATTACTAATTATTTTTCAACTAATTATAAATTTTACCTATAAACTAAATTGTAATATATTAAAATTTATAAAGTTGCGATTAGGTCCTTGTCTACTATCAAAATTCCAAAACAAAACCTGTTAATCTAATTACCATAATAACACCACAAATCAGATTTCAAATACTAAAATCACGAGCAGAATTTTCCAAAAGAAATAAGTAACACATCTTAATCCGCATAAACGTGAAATTTCCAAATCTAATTCTCAAGGTGCAATAACACATCTCAAGCCGCGAAATTTCCAAATCTAATTCTCAAGAATAACACCACAAATCAGATTTCACATTCTAAAATCCACATCTTAAGCCGCAAAAACGCCGGGACTCTCGAGAATACCAGATTGCCGTTGAAGTCGAGGTCGACGGCCGATATAAGCCCCGTCGTCAGCGGTCGGGAGGTGCGGCGTCCGGCGTCGGAGAGGAAGATGATAATAAATCTCGAGCGCCGCCGGGTTCAGCCTGGTGGTCGGACGAGAGACGACGTTGGATTGTTGGAGACGTGATTGCGGATATGGCGGACCTGGTCGGGGTGGATCAATTGGAGGCCGTGGTGGTGGCGACGGGACCGACGGCGGCGGTCGGAACCCAACAATATGCAGATGGTGTTGTCCGGCGGTGGTGATTGTCCGACAGGTGGCGGTGGTGTTTGTCTGACAGGCGGCATGCGGCGGGTGGCTGACGTCGTGCGGCAGTTGAGGTGGTGGTGCCCGATGTGAATCTGTGAGTGTACGTGAGGAGTGAGTGTGTGTGTACGTGTGTGAGAGAGAGAGAGATAGTGGGTTTGTTGGTGGGTGGATAGGGGATTGACGGGATGGGGTATGCTTGGGTGATTGGTTTTAATGTGGAAGGTGGTGGGCCCCACATGTTGGTGTGTTTTGATCAAATGTCTAAATTATATTTAATTATTAGCCAAATGTACATATTTGACCACCATATAATCATATAATTATCAAATTGCCATTAATGATTGACCATATTCGACTTCATCATAATTCATAACCATTAATATCATTGATCTCATGGTCGAGATTTATTCTCATTTCTTTCACTATCTATCATTCTCATATGATCCAAACTCTCTCTCTATATATATAGGGTTGGGTTCACATGAGAATGGTACTTAATGAAAGAAATGAGAATAGATCGTATCTATTAGATCGGATAATCTAATGGCTAAAAAAAAGCAAAAAATTATGCTCTCATCAAGAGTAATGTAGTAATTTTTAACACCACACCCCACTCCATATTAAATATCCAACTCTCTACAAATAAATCATAATTCACCCCCAATACACCCCAGACCCCACCCCACCCCACCCCCGCTTTATCTCCCTCTCTTTCACACACACATCACACACCAACACACACTTTCGCCGTCACACTTCACTCGCCGTCAGTAAAGCTCGACCGTCGATCCGCCGCCCGCTACAAGACGTCCGTCCGCCATCAGATGTCCGCCCGCAGCCATACTCTTCATCCAACGTTCTTCGCAGCCGTCGCCGCCGTCAATTTCAAAAATCCGGCAGATATTGAACCACAGGCGAATCATATCCGTCACGCTCTCCGGCTTCGGGCGAATAATGGAGAAGCGATTGAAATGGCCGGTCGTACGTGTTTTTTAAGACGACGGCGAGTAAATCGACCGGATCTATAGAATACAGAGCTTGAAACGGCGGCCGGATTTTTCAGAATTGTGGCTGCCACTGGGATGCTTTGTCTGCAAGCAGAGGGACGTACTCCACAGAGTAGCGGACAACCAAAATCGCCGGAGAATCGACCGGAGAGCTTAACCATGAGTGCCTGCGTGATTTTCAGCGATTTGAGAATTGCGTATTTCCAAGGGCAGTCTTTTGAGAATTAGATATTTCCCAGGACTTGATTGCAAATTCATAAATTTTGATTAAATGTCAATTTAGTCCCTGGATCAAATTTGTAATTTGCAGAAACTTTACTAATATGTAATAAATTTGCAAATCTAAATTAGGATTTTGGAGCTTGATTGTTTATTTTTTACTTTTTAATATAAATTATAAATTATTTTATTTATTTAGTTTAATTCGGTTGACCGAACGAATAAATCAATTATTTCGTTTCTACTTTGGGTTGAGGCAAATCAATAAAAAAATAATTGCACTTCGAGAGCACATTCATGTTAAACGGATTGCACATTAGTGACTATCAATTTGAACTATATCGACCAAAATTTACCGACTATGTTTTTTGGGTCCGAATATTATATTTTGGTTCATTTATCTGTTTATACTTTATTTTTATTTATTTACTTTTTGTGTTTAGTTCGGTTTGACGTCAATTTTATTTTCTTCTTAAAATAAACGAATTGATCGAACTGTAAAACAAAAAATATTATTTTCTATTTTTATATTTTAAGTTCTTACAACAAAAACAAATATATATATATATATATTTAATAAATAAAATATTAAAATACCAAATATATTTTTATAATATATATTATAAATTGTTTCAATTAATTATGTTAATTCGGTTAACCGATGAAATAAACCAAATAGTTCGTTCAATTTTACTTTGGTTTGGACACTATATAAAAAGTTAATGCACTGCTAGTGCACAATAATGTTAGACGGATTGCACATTAATGACTATTATATTGCACATTATTGACTAACAGATTGCACAATAGCATCTGAACTTGATTGAACTATTTTTGGTTTAAATTTTATATCTCAATTTGGTTATATGTTTCTAACTTTTAAAGTGCATATTTACACACAATATTGTGCAATTTACTTATTGAAATTGCATATGTATTAGTTTTTTTAACAAGTTCGTATATTTATATGACAGTAGTTTTTAATGTGAGTATATTGTTCAATTTGAAATTGTAATAAATTGTAAATTGTACCCATTAAATTGTCTATTTTCCATGCTCCAAAATTATCTAATGGGCTGTAAATGCTATTGGCTTTGACCAATTAACCAAGTTCATGTCAAAAGAATGGGAAACGTCAGACATAAGACTTCACGTGCGGTGCGCCTATATGTATATATTAAGTTTTCTTAAATTGCAAACAAGTCCCTAGGACTTATCTAATTTACAAAAATCAAACCCCTAATTTCTAAAAGTCACAAAATCTAAAATCGAGACCTGTGTCTCTTTAGTCCTTCAACAGAATCTCAATACTCAGATTTACTCAAGCCACTGCATAACAATTGGTGAACGGGAATGAGATCTACGATGGGATTTAGAATAGATAGCATCTTCGAAACTTCCGTGACCGGCTTCCTCCTGTCATGGATTTGGTTTTATTAATCGCCGTCAGAGAAGCTTCATGACCTGCTAATCGCCGTCGACATAGGAGCGGGACTGTGGAGGCGCGGCAACCGGGATGGGAGGCGCGTCATACGGGCTGAGGATGCGCGTCGGCCGGGCTGGGGAGGCGCATTGGCGGGGCTGCGTAGCCATGACCGCCGGATTTCTGTAGAGCGGGAGACTGGGGGGGCGTGGCGGCAGGCAAATGGGGCCGTGACCGCCGGATTTCAGTAGTCGTGAGAACGTGAATGTCGGACTTCTGGAGAGAGGGGGAGGATGGGGCGGCTGGTCGCCGGACGGCAGTCGGCGCCGGGCGACTGCTCTGGTGGTCCGACGTGTGCCTGGCCGTGAACTGGAAGGTTGTGTGTGTTTGTGTGTGTGTGTGTGTGTGTCTGTAGGTGAGTGATGAATGGGGTAGGTGACACGGGTGTAGGTGGGTGTTAGGGTTAAAGGTTGGGTGGTGGTGGACCCCACATGTTGATGAGTTGATATCAAATGACTAATTTACCCTTAATTTGTGGTCAAATGCCAATATTTGACTATGAATTGTACACATATTTACAACACTGCCACATCATGTTTGACTAGTATATTTAATGTTTGACTAGATCATGACCATTGATATGCTGTATGTAATGGTGCACAACCATTCTCATTTCTTTCACTATCTATCATTCTTATATGATCTCTTCTCTCTCTCTCTCTCTCTCTCTCTCTCTATATATATATATATATATATATATATATATATATATATAAACTGCCATACTTTTTTATTATGCTATAAAATTCTATATTATTATTTTTGGTATACTTGTTAAAATAGTGTCGACAATTTTTGTGAGTCTAATTGTTAGATGAGTCAACCATCATACTTTGTGATTATGCTATAAAATATGTTATATTTTTATTTATGTTATTTGTAAGAGTGGCATTTGAGTTCGAAAATATGCATATATATTCGAAAAAAGTATGATGTCTGGTTGTCCTAACACTTACCTTGCTGATTATATGGAGACTTATCCAGTTGTTTATTTGTGTTTTCGTTGTTATATATAATTTTAATTGACTTTTTAATCACGTGGTGAGATTGTGTTAAGAAAAGTAACATAGAATGGATGAATAATTTTTTTTTTTATGAAGATTTTTTTTGTGTACATTCGTTGATGCAATGAGATAAATCTTAATTAACAAAACAAAAAACATAAATCATGACTAACCAAAATAAGCTAAAACAAAATCATATGCTTTTTGTGAAGATTTTTTGTTACATTCGTTAATGCAACGAGATACATCTTGATTAGCAAAACAAAAATCATAAATCCTGACTAATCATTGGTAAGTTAAATATTTGATACCGAACGACCACCTTACCTTTTATATTTAATGTTCATAGATTATGAATTTCGTACTGACAAATTCTCTTTTTAACGTAATTGATATATTTTTCTGAAATGTTTAATGTGTAAAATATTAAAAGTAATATAATTTGTATGTACATAACAAAAATAAATGGAATTAGGATTCTTGCAAACGCGTGAACAAATTTTGAGCAAAATATAAAATGATTTTGAATATAATAAAATGAACATAATTTCAATTTTTTTTAAAACAAACAGATTATGCGATAAAGCATGCAACAGACAGATGAAGTTCATTGAAAAAGTGAGAATCAAGTGAAGTTCATTGCAAGTGCGAAACAAATTATACAATAAAGTATACAACAGACAGGAAGAGTTAATTAAGCAAGTGTAAATTACTTATGCGATAAATGATTTGGTGTAAATAGTATAAAAACAAATATGCGAATGTGTTTCGTGTAATTGTTAACTGTGGGTCTGATTTGGATCACGTTAGTATATATATATATAACAAAATCTCGCATAATTGCTAATTACGCGGTTCATTTGGATATGGATTTTATATCGCATATAGTTTCGTGAGTATTGACGATGATAGAGTATGTAAAAAGGTACATGTATATATTGGTGTGTAAAAGAAATTTACCTTGTTTTTCGAACTACATCAATAGTGCTGAAAATATACATATTTGATGAAGAATTGTAAATACTTAACCACTAGTCCTCTCCTCTGTCTAATAACAACTTTAAGGATAATAAATAACATAAATTAAATAGAGGATCACTATTTTTTTTTTTTTTAATTTATTTCATCAACAATAACAACACAGTTACACGTTTATTCTTCGACACGAATCACACATGCATACTCGCTCGTGACCCAAAGTCAACTGGCTGAACGGCACAAGTACGTTCACAATCACAACTACCATCACAAGAAAGAAGAAAAGAAAAAAAAAAAAA